TATATATATATATATATATTCCTTGGGAAGGAATTTGTAGGAAAAATTAAAATAAAATCTATGAAATTAATTTTGGAATAACACCTGTGGAATTTTATCCAGAAATGAATCTTGACCTTTAAAATCATCCTCTTGCTTATCACCTTCTTATGTCAGTAATTCCACTGTGATCCAGAATATGCTTTTCAGCTCATAGCATCCCTGACACCCAACACCAGCCAGTGTACCTGCTACATGATGTATATCCATACCTCTTTTTAACCTGGAATATTTGACAATGCATTATTTCTTCTGTGCACTGGATTTCCAATGATTTGAGATTATTTCTAACTCTAAAACTTCATATGAATATTTGCTGTCACTGGGAATATTTGAAAGAATGTAATGCAGCTTTTTGCAAGACCGTAGAGATGTATTGGTGTTTGTGTGTGTCTGTGGGTGTTTTGGCATTTGTACATCTGTACTAGTGTGCAATATTCATTTTCTGGACAGTGACTATGGCTATGAGAGACACGGAGAGAGCCAGTGTGTCCCAGCTTTCTGGTACAACCCAGCATCCCCATCAAAGGACTGCAGCCTTGGTCAAAGCTACCTTAACAGCACTGGGTAAGTAAAACACCTGAAGGAACTCTATTCACTAGTCTCCTGTTTCCCTAGATTGGGATCAAAGGTAGCATTTCTTCTGAAGCAAGAGAGAGTATGGATAGTTTGTTTATAGGTGGCTTCTGAGGAAAGCTGAGGCTTTCTTTAGCTGAGAGTAGCTTTAGGGGGAACATCAGAAATCTACCAGATTTCAATACTTTTTTCCATTTGCCTCTGACAGACCATAGCTATTGTTTCAGTTGGGTCTTCTTTGCTGGAAAGAGATGCCACCTTATTTTTTGAGCCCCTAAGGAAATAACACAAGTGGTATGCAGATATTACAGTGCTCTCTAGTGATAGACGAACAGAAGCTCTCCTAGACTGTGATGCTGGCAACTTAAAATGAAAATTTACAGGTCCCATTCTAGAACCTCCTGGAATAAGAAGGTCAAGGCATACTTTGTCTAATTGTCACACTATGTGTGTGTTTCTCTCTGCTCACTTACAGTTACTCAGATTTGTGGGGGAAAAAATATTTCCGTGAAGACTTATCTTCCCGTCTTTTGCTACCTCCATGGTGCAGAACGGATTTGGCAAGTGGATTGGGGGTCTAAGATAGCACTTTTCCAATTTTAATGTGTTGTAGATCGCCTGGTGATCTTGTTAAAATGCAGCTTGTGATTTGGTAGATGTAGGGTGGGGCTGAAATTCTTCATTTCTAAGAAGTTCCCAGGCATCATTGCCATTACTGGTCCTAGGGCTTTGAGTAGTGGAGGACTAGGTGTTCTGGACTCCAGTCTCAACTCTTCCAATGGGTCCTCTACCATCTCACACAAGTTACTCACCACCTCAGTACTTTTACCTTCTCTGATTGTAAAATCCTGAAAAGGTACAATCTACCTAAGTGATGGGAGAAAATGATGGAAGAGATGTGTTGAGTGGTCTGAGCTACTGAAAGACAAGAACTTTTAGCTAAATACTTGGTTCTTAGGGAGCTGTTGCTGCGTCCTGAGCTGGGGCTTAAGCACTTTTGATGCAATTTTATTGTGGGTGTCTAGTTCAGGGATTTAAGCCATTCAAAATACAGATCCAGAAGCATGAACTTTCAGAGATATGGTAGAAGAGAACACAGTGCTATCAAGTTTGAGGAAGAAGAATATGATAGGCACAAGTCATCAGCTGGGCCACCAAATCCCAAGCCAGAGCATACCTTGGACGGAACTGGAGGAGAATTACATCACAACACCACATATGATCACGTGACATGTATATGTACACCCAATTTAAAGCAAGTTAGGTATACCAAAATCCCAAATAGCCAACCAAATAAATTAGGAAGCTGAAAAGGAAAGATAATTCAATTTTTTCCAAAAGATTTACTACAACTGTGTACACATACCTCTGTGTTGCTTAAATGTTGGCTTATATTATAGGTGGTCAACCAGCTGGCCAGTTGAGGTTGAAGAGAAAGAGTAGATGATATCAAGGTTGCATTAGGATATGGTACCCACCAAAATATCTGCCATAAGTAAAAATTAAATATCTTGTAAATGATTAAAAGTCAGCAAGAAAGTATAAATTGGTTACAAAAGTTTGATGATGTAGACTGGTGCTGACCAAAAGAATTATAATATGAGCCACATATATAATTTAAAATTTCCTAGTAGCTACATTAAAAATAATTTTAAATGAAAACTTAATTTTAATAAGATAATTTACTTAACCTAATATATCCAAAATAGTATCATTTTAACATGCAAGGCTAACCACATTTTAAGTGCACAGTAGGCACAGGTAGAGTGATTAGCATATTGGACAGCACATCTGAAGACCCATTATGAGCTCAGTTGGCAATTAAAAAAATATTATGTATCTACAAAGGGGTATATTGTAATTCTATCTGAGGCAGTAACTACACACAGCATTTGCTTAACATCCTCCTGAGATCTTTGGGTGGAGATAGGGTTGGTAGTTCAGCAGTGTTTGGGGGGTGACGGATGGAGAGAGGACCGGGGGAAATATCAGGTATAGTGGAGGATCAATATTATTCATAAAGAATTGTCTCTCATCTGCTTTCAATTGAAAGGCAATCAGAGGAAGGCAGCATGGATGGTTTGGTTAATTACTCCTGACATACAGGGTGAAAGAAGACATGATATAATGATGGTGGTGGTGGCACATTTATATTTTGTGGTTTTACCAGAATGTTGATTATATGCAGTCTTACAGATAGTGGAAATAATATTTTCCGTGCAGGTCAGGACTGTGGACAAGCTCTTGGCTTCATATGCTGGGATCACTGATGAAGTGAGATGACGTGGCATCACTATGTGCAAAGATGCTCTTGTCCTGAAAGGCCACGCTGCTTTGTGAGGAGTTTTCCCCATGCCCACTTCTTCTCTGAGCTGATTTTTCCTCAGCAGGATTTAACAGGCATTTCAAATTTGTGCTTTGGAATTGGCATTTGTGTTGAGTGGGAAGTGGAATATTAGTAAGGAGAGAAAATGTGCTGTGAAAGAGCCCCGTGGCTTCAGAGCAAGGGCTATTAGGTATTAAAGGATGGAATGATGTCCTGCGGGTCGAGGGAAGACAGGAAGAGGCTTCCTGATGAATCAGAGTTAGAAGTCTGATCTTCTAGGTGATGGGCATTGAAGAAGGCATCTTTTGGGATGAGCACTGGGTGTTGTATGGAAACCAATTTGACAATAAATTTCATATATTAAAAATAAAGAAGTCTGATCTTCTAGATGCTTTTCGGTACAGAGAAAACTGGAAATGACCTTAGATAACTCCGAACAAGTCCCTTCCTCCCTCACAGAAAGGAGCACTTGCTTCTTACTTCCCTCGTCCAGTGGGTCAGCCTCCTTCCCTCTTGCATGTGAGTCACGCATTGATTTTTCTTGGCTAGTTTAGACACTGATCTGATTCGTGGCTCACCAGGTAGGATCAATAATAATGTTTAAAGAGCTGCTCTTCCTCAGATGGAGGGATAGCAGTTCCTCAGCATTTGTTTGGCTTCTTAAAGGGCTGTCTTCTTTGAGACTCAGTTTTTAGGAGCAGCTGTGCAAAACGTCTCTCACTCTAGCTTTCTGGTATCCTTTTCTAACATGCACACACACACTCACCCCACACTGCCAACAGCTGTCAATACTCTTTAGGTACCGGAGAATTGTATCTAACAACTGCACGGACGGGCTGAGGGAGAAGTACACGGCCAAGGCCCAGATGTGTCCCGGAAAAGCCCCTCGAGGCCTGCATGTGGTGACAACCGACGGGCGCCTAGTAGCAGAGCAGGGGCATAATGCGACTTTCATCATTCTCATGGAGGAGGTAGGTGTTGTCCTGGGTCTCTGAGGTCATAACTCACTGCTCCCAGGGAGGGAAGAAAAGAAAGACGATGTATCCCCCCAGGTGCCTGTACCAGAGTCAATGGTCAGAAGACAGAAGGGATAAAAGAAGGCTTGGACATTTAGGGACCCTCTTCCCTCCATCGCTTGGCACAGACCTGGGCTGCAGGAGACCCACTTGGCTCAGGGAAGATGCAGATCTGGATATGTTCTTTGAGATTCCCCTTTAGGGCCTGCTTTGTTGAAGGAATATTTATCACCATAAGACCATATGCTCTAAACTTTGCCAGAAGAAGGGAATTCGTATTTTTTCTGTTGCTCCCAGGAGCCTCTTTTGCTTTTTTCCTCATACTTAACCCCCCTAATTAAAAAAAGCCCACAAGGCTTTCAAAGAGTCTTGAAAGTGAGTGTGAGTGTGGGGGAAGATTATTGCAATCTTTTAAACATATATGTGTAAAGAAGGTCACATTAGTTGCTTTTCCATCAACTGGCTGCTCCATTATTTCACTTTTTAGTGTCTTTTGCAATTAAGGCAGTAAAATCAGCCTGCATCCATTCATTCCAGGGTGGAAACAGCTCTGTCTTATGCTTCTTGCTCCCTACATGAACTACTTTATCCCTTTCCCAAACCAGAGAGCTTTTCAGGCACTCCTTGCTGAGGCGGTGGGGCAAAAAAGCTTGCCTGATTTACAAAGACCTCTAAATGTGTATGCAAATTGCTCTGAGCTCTTCAGATCTTGGAAAGAGACCACAGCAGGCCAGGAGGGTTTTTTTGTTTTTTTGTTTTTTGTTTTCCCCAAATGTGAATACTTTAGAAACCTTTAAAGTCTGGGCCATACTGAACAGGATGGTGAAGTTTCCTTATCCTGGGTTGACAGATTCTTCAGCCTTCGCCCACACTGGGCACTTGAATTAAAGGACTTTAAGATTCAGAGGAGGTCACTATCATATTTCCACTAGGGAGTTTCCAGGACCAGCACTATAAAAACCTTCTCCTGAATGGATGTGAAGAGCCATGATCTTATCCATTTGAATTGCCTCTAGTTCATTTCCACTTCAATTTATATTCATAAACCCAAGGGTAGTTAACATTGTGCAGGGGGCAAGGGAACACCTATCAATATTTCATTCACATCTGGGTTGCCATGGGGGAAGAGATGGAACATGAAACTGTGATCAATGCACCTTCACTGGACAGAAGGATTGGCTCATAATTCCAAAATGATGTATATCCTTTTTTTAAATTTCATCAACTATGTTTGTAAACAGAGAGATCCAATTCTTCTTTTTCATCGAGGATCCTTGTTTTGTGGTCAGGTTCAATTGCATTTATCCAAAGCGCTGACCCAATATAGTGGGAGGAAGAACAAGGGAGGGTGAGCTTTAGTATCCGTTCTTAAGAAGCTGAGCATCGGCTTGGGGCGTTCGGATGACCTCACCCGAACTGATGGCATCATGCCTCTAGGTGTCTCCCAGGGGGCTCTTGGCCTTCCAAGAGGCAGAGGGATCTGTGAGCTGGGATGATTGGAAAAGGCTTCAGGGAAGAGGGGCTTAGGCAGGTTTAGGGAAACCCAAGGTCAGCAGAGCACGGATGTAATTTTAACTGGTATGTAGTATCCATGTGTAGCCTGGGAATAATCATCCTACCTCACAGAGTTATTTTGAAGGTGTGGTATAGAATATGTGTTAGGTGATAAACATAATGCTTGGAACATAATAATAAATATTAAAACATAGGAATAATTGTATATAGTTCTAGCATTGTAGTTGAGAGCATTAGTGTTGAAACCAGACTGGCTGGGTTCAAAATTGGTCTCTTCCACTACTAGCTGTGAGTCTTTGGTCTACTTATTTATTTTTGTCCCCATTTATAAAATGGGGAAAGTAATACTTTCTGCATTAGAAAGTTGTGAGGAGATCAATTGCTTGGAACTGAAAAGAAACTTTGTAAGTATTAGCTGTTACTACTATTGCTGTTATTCTTATGACACAGGAGAGGAATAATAAAGCATGTGTGTGCCTAGAACTCCCTAGAGGCTTTACCTTGTCCCCTTGGGCCCATGTCAGAGGCTGCCCTGAGCTTGGGCTTACAGGGACAACAGATCCATAGGACCTCCCCGTGATGCCCAGTGGATATCATATAAGAGTCTGATGGTTGTGTGGAGGATGCTTCAGCCCTGAGAGAGTCTCTAGGTCCTCAAGAGGGTGATGCAGAAGGCACAGGACCAAGCATCCAATAGGAGTCAGACTGGACATGTGAGTGAGCCCAGGCCCACTGCTATTCCCCCTGTGCAGGGTGATCTCCAAAGGACAAACATCCAGCTTGACTTTGGGGATGGGATTGCAGTGTCCTATGCTAACTTCAGCCCCATCGAGGATGGCATCAAGCACGTGTACAAGAGTGCGGGCATCTTCCAGGTGACGGCCTATGCAGAGAACAACCTGGGCTCAGACACAGCTGTCCTCTTCCTGCACGTGGTTTGTAAGTAGCATGAGCCTTCTCCTTTCTTATGTTCCTCCCAATTGACAACTGGTGTCAAGACTTCTGGGATGCAGAGCTGAGACTAGCTTTGGTATGACTGCCACCCTTTTGTAATGGCCCAAGTGGAGAGACTGAGATGTGTGCTCATTTGTGTTTCAGTTTTCTGACACCGAAGTAGTTTAAATATCTTGAAAGTTTGGAGAGCATTACCAATCGGCCCCTCCTTTTCAGTCCCACTACGTCCTGATGGACGTATGCATATGCAGACACACATTCAGGTGAAAGTCATTTCACTTTGCTTTGGAGAGTCCTAAGAATATAGGAAGAGGAAGCTCACCTGGTTCGTGGCCACATGGTCACTTCCAAGCTACTATGAGTGAAGGCAGCTCGAATCAAAGTAAATTTCTTTTTTTTTTTTTTTTTTAATTTTTTTTTTTTTTTTCAGCAGTTTATTTATTTTTTTGGGACAGAGACAAAGCGGAGGGCAGAGAGAGGGAGGCTGGGAATGGAGCAGGAGAAGCAGGCTCTGAGCCATCAACCCCAGAAACCCTGACAGCAGGCTTTCGAACTCAGGACAGCAGATGGTGAAACCTGGCTGAAGTCGGACGTAGCTGCGACTTCTCACGCCACCAAAGTAGCCCATAAATTTCTAATCTCTGTTGGAAGAACCAAAGAAGGGTTAAAGAAACATGTATGGGTTTTTGAAAATGTAGAACTGAGCACACAAAAGAACCTAATTCTTATGTCCAAGGTTATTGTAAGTTCACTCCTATCGTAAACAATTCTAAGGACTCTCCAAAATGTTTTTGTTGACCTGGAACGTATTGCATTACTATTGACTGTCGCTTGGCCCAAATCAAAACAACAGCTGAAGTTCCAAAGTACTTTGTGTGTAATGGATATGTTTTGTGTATTTGCTATCCTGGGACTTAATTCATGTAAAATGAAACTTAAATATTATGATTTTAGCATGTTGGGTCAAGACATGTTATGGGGCTGGTATTGATTTCCTATGCCTTTCTCAGTGATACTCATGGGCCTAAGGAATTCTGTGGTTCTAATTTATATACCCCATGATGTTTGGGGAGTAATATGCTATATATGGTAAAAATTATATGTCCCCAAAGAGTCTAGGTGAATGCAAGAAGTATCTCCACCTCAGTGATGACGTAAACTCCACTTTATAAGCTGCCTACATTTAAAAGGTTTCTGGAAAACAGTAAGCTATCTAGTCGTCTAGCATTTTAATCATAGTGGTAGCACAAGGGCCACCAGTGATAGGGGAAGAGCACTGGGGGACACCTGGATGATAGATCAGTTACATCCCTAAAGATGCCAGGATACTTGGCCACAAGATAAGTTATTTCTTCTCTGGATCTTCTGAACTCCAATTTCAAAATGGCTTAATTCTAACTGGTACTTTGCCTCACATGGCTCTTGTAACAAATAGGAAATGTAAATAAAACACCCAATTATTTACTAATTTATTCAACAAATGTTTGTTGGATCTGAATATATGTAAGGCATTCAGCAAGGCACCGGGGAAGTAACAATACAGATATGGCCTGAGTCTTGAAGACTTTACATTCTGGTGGGTGAGGGCAGGTGCTGCTAGAAATGGGCCATCAATAGCCCTAGTGGTAATAACCATACTACACCAATTATACTCATTCTGTGCCAGAAGCACCAGATCCAAAACCCAGGTAGGTGGCATGCAGGGTGTTCATGAGTCAGGGTTTAGAACAAAGGGACCTCTGTTTGAAATCTGATTATATCCCTTTGTTAAACATCTAATACTGATCAACCTTCTTACTTTACAAACTTCTGATTGCTCATCTTTAATAGTTAGGCTTTAGGGAAGCTATGAGAATCAAATTGGATTATGAATATGGTTCACGGGTCCCCAGGACCACCCCCTTGGGTTTGTTGATTCATTAAAAGGACTCACAGGACTCAACATATTGTCATACCCAAGACTGTGATTTATTACAGTGAAAGGTGACAAAATAAGATGAGCAAAGGAAAAGGGCCAGAGGGCAAAATCTGGAGGAAGCCAGTCGTGATCTCCAAAGAGTCAGCCCCTATCATGGTGTCACCCAACATGGATAATTCCTCCAGCAAGGAGTTCTAGAAGCACATGAGAAGGGCTCTTTACCAGAGAAGCTGCTTAGAAATTCAGTACCCATGATTTTTTGGGAAGGACTGGTCAGGTAGGCATCTCCTGCCTAGTGTATGCCAGAATTCCAGACACCCTAAGGAAAATACATTCTCAGAATAAACCATATTGTTGGCATAAACTATCTAGACATAGTGAACCACTCTTAGCAGTTAACTGTTGGGTGGAAATACTCTCAAAGCCAAGTTTCCAGATGTTATCAAGAGCCAATCTTGCACACAAGTCTTTCCAAGGATGGCAATTTCAGGTCTATGTTAACATTTTTCTGCACAGTATGCAAAATGCCACTTAACCACCCAGCTTGGCACATGATGAATGTTACCTGTTATAGTAATTACTAAGTACTACCTACTAACTTTCTGCCTGACACTTCTGCTGCATTTAAAAATGAAGACAAAGAGGGAAAATTTACTTTCCTCTCTCCCACCCATGTTCCTAATTCTAACAATAGCGGACCTTGCCCGAAGGGTGCAAAGACCAGTGTATCTTAGTGGCAAAAATCACAACAGCAAGGAACTGATTTATACTGTGGGTTATGTGCATGAAGGAGGAAATGTTCCTTGAAACTTTTATCATGCTCGTAATTCCCTCCAAATCAATCATGGCTGCATTTACCAGACAGTTATTATAGTGGAAACTGCTCTTGGCCTCACCTTGGGCCATTAGCTAACAAAAGTAGTTGTTAGCCACCCATAATAACCAATCTCGCACAAATTATTAGATTTTTATCAAAAAGAGCACTGTTTGACAGTGAGGATTTTATGAGTTGGCTGTGCTCCCTCCTGAATCCTTCCTCTCCCTTCTCTCTGGTCATTGGTATATCCCTAGGTTGAAGCCCGGAGCATCTGGTTCAGGTTCTTTGCCCTACAAAGCTATTACATGTTGGGGTGCCTGGGTGGCTCAGTCGGTTAAACATCCGACTTCGGCTCAGGTCATGATCTCACGGTTTACGAGTTTGAGCCCCACATAGGGCTCTGTGCTGACAGCTTGGAGCCCGGAGCCTGCTTTGGATTCTGTGTCTCCCTCTCTCTCTCAGCCCCTCCCCCATTCTCTCTCTCTCTCTCTCTCTCTCTCTCTCTCAAAAATAAATAAACATTAAAAAAAACTATTATGTGTTGTTGTTCCTTGAGATTCTGTTTACCCAAACATGCTTGTCTTGAATTTGGAAAAAATGTGATTATGTTTGATGGTGTGCCAATTCATGGAAACTGTATCCCTTTGTTTGCAATGAGTTTAGGGAGAAGGATATCTCCTTTTATCTTTTTGGGCATCAAAGTACCTGACAGTGTGTAGCTGGGCCAAGGCCCTTGAGTGACAGGAAGCTGAGAAGAAGTGCCAGGGCCACAAGCCATTAGCAGTATCATCACTTAACTGTGGAAAGGCCTGGGATTCTGATGAGCTGGCCAGGGGAATAAGCTTCCTGCATTATGAGGGAGGGATATAACAGGAGAATTGACTTTAAGGGTAAATGGTCCCTTTCCCAGCAGGGGAGGAATGAGCTCTGTATCTGGGCACAGAGAAAGACTCTGGGGTGTTATTGTAAACATAGAGTTCTCATCTCCCTCCTAGGACATGGCTGGCTGGGGGCTCCTTCCCACTGTCTCATTCTCCTCCCCATGAATCAGTAAAACACAAACAACAAAGAAAGGTAAATCATATAAGGTCCTAAAAATGAGTAATTAAGTCACAAAAGTAGCCAGTGCTTTCTCATAACTTGTGGGTATTTGTATTTTCACCAACAATTAAACCATACAAAAATAATTGAGCAGAATTTCTTATTGAAAATAGTTAAACCTTCGGGGGTGCCTGGTTCAGTCAGTTAAGCATCCAGCTTCAGCTCAGGTCATGATCTCGTGGTTTGTGAGTTCGAGCCCCATGTCGGACTCTGTGCTGACAGCTCAGAGCATGGAGCCTTCTTCGGATTCTCTGTCTCCCTCTTTCTCTGCTCGTGCTCTCTCTCTCTATCTCTCTCAAAAATAAATAAACATTTAAAAAAATTTTAAGGAAAATAATTAAACCTTTAGCCAAATGTGTATCTGAAGTGACAAGGTTGAAATTATTTGCTAGAAGAGACTATTTGCTGGAAGAAACCTTGAGGGTTGTATGTCTGTGGTCAGGTCAGAGAGCTGTAATCAATGAGTAGTTTCAAGCTGTAGATACGCAGGTCCTCGAACACGTGTTGACTGTTCAGGAAAGTACAGCATGGACAGTGGCAGGCAGGCCTGACTCCTCTCCTAGTTTCAGCATTTGTCTTTACCCAAACACCTTCTCCCTCAGCATAAATCTACCTACAATACCGGCGATGCCCAGTGAGACTCAGAAGAACTTCTGCTGTCTTAGAGGGACTTCTATGCAATGGTACACAGAGACAGCGATAGTGGTGGTAGAAATAGTGCCCACCCAGAATTAACGGGATGGTACTTTTAACATCCAGATATCACATTCACATGTTCTGATTCCTATAAGGAAGATGAGGGACGGCATAATGGTAAGGGACTGTGTAAGGTCAAGGCTCTATAAGAAAGAGGAAAAGATCATACAGCTAAATTTAAACCAGACCAGAAATGAGAAAAAGCCATCTGTTTTCTTCCCTTTAAACCGAGCTGCCTCCAAAATAACCCAAGATGTAAATAGCGAAGGTTGAGTGGCCTGAAAAATGTCCCACCTATGAGAAGAACTCAAGGCCCCCAATAAAAAGATGTGTGGACTGCAGTCTTGACTTTTAGTTATTCTTGACACTATCATGATGGAAACCAGGAATATTTGTGCTAGCGTAGTGTGAACAGATAATGGAACACTTTAATTGGGTTTGGTTAAGTAGCAAAGATATAAAGAAGGGAAAGGAAGAAAAGGGAAGGAAGGAAAAGAAAGAAAAAGGAAAGGAAAAGAGGAAGGAGTGGAAGTGGGGGGGGAGAGGAAAACCCCACAGAGTTAAAAAAGATAACATATCCACCCCACAGTGCAACACTGACCTGTTAATGTTTTCCAGCAGCTTTTCCTCTTCTCATTTTATTTTGGAAATGAATTAAATTAAAATCCTCATTGATGTGTTCATATATTTTTCTCTGACTTGCTGCTTATATCAGTTTTCTGCAGGAAAAAAAGAGAAATTTGCTCACCTTTTTGCAAGCAGCTTTTTTATTATTTGGGAACCTGGAATTTGTTTCTCCTTTGATTTAGGGAGATACACATTTTCCTTTTTGTAAAACAGCCTTGCCAGCTTCTGAATGATGCCCACTGAGTATTGCAGATGACGGGCACAATGGCGGATTGTTGAAGAGGATGGAACCAATTAACAATCAAGGATAATGGAAGAGCCCTCCATATGATGCGCTGACCCCACATGACAATACAGGCTAATTGTCAGAAATGAAAGAGACTGCTGTTTATCTTCCTATTTATTGGCTAAGTGTCTAATAAACTGGCTTTGTCCTTGGATTGGAGGTTCATAAGTATTCATGGTTAGGCACATCAGATGTAAATGTATTTCGGATGTCATTCAAAAAGTCTGAAGTCTGATTTATGTTCCCTTTTATACAAGGTGCTTTATTTCAAGCACATGCCCACATCTCAATATTTGTGAGTTTGTGATCCTTGTTTTACTATAGTTTATGGTAATAGGGGTTAAGATTAAGAATCTGGGAGTGCGATGAAGTTCGTTTATTCCCAGGATGTAAACACTCATATTGTTTTCCTTGTTCCCACAGGTCCCGTGGAGCATGTTCATCTCCGAGTTCCATTTGTTGCTATAAGAAATAAGGAGGTCAACATCAGTGCAGTTGTGTGGCCCAGTCAACTGGGGACCCTCACCTATTTCTGGTGGTTTGGCAATAGCACAAAGGTTCGGCCCTTTCTGATCCATGTCTGAGTAGATCTGTGCTGAATTCTTCTATCTTCCAGCGTCCATGTTGACGTTGGGGACATCAGAGATGTGGGCAATAGGGAGTATTTCCTGAATCTATGAATCCACATAATTGAATATCACATATGTCTCTATATCAGATTCATTATTATAGTAGGGAAAGTTCAAACAATCCTGAGGAAGAAAGAGTACTCTGAGAAGCTATACAAACCTACTTCCATAATCAGTATTCTAAAACTTCATTTGCTCTATTTTTTTTTTAATCCTGGGCTCTCCACTCACTAGCTATGTAAAGGAAGCCACTTAGCATCTCTGAGATCCCGTGATTCCATCTGGAAATGTGAATTCTATCTCTAAATACAGAGATGTGAAAATCAAATCAAATAATGCACGTAAAGAACCCTTCTCCAAGACCTGCTAGATGTTCTATGAAGCCCAGGGTTTTCTTTAGGTTCTTTTTTAGACTGATGATGCCAAGCCTCTAAGAAGAGGACTAAGAGGGCTAAACTCTGAACTTGGCACATCCTCCCTACTCCCCGCAACTGGTGATGGTGATACCTGTGTCAACAGTGACTACACTTGTATGATAGGAGCTGGGAGCAGTTAGGCTGAGGGTCTCTAAATGTAAGGGCTTCATGTTTTTCTCCATTCCTGATTTTGTCTACATTTTGCTTGGTCATTCTTGATGTGATTGGCATTAACCATCTTAGACCTTTCATTTTTAAAAAGTAAGAAAGATATCGTATCACACTTGGTAATGCTGGATATCTCAAGAAAGGGGAAGCAAATATTCAGTTCTATGTAGTAATTCCTTTAAAAAAGAAATGAACAATGATGGCTTTGTTTGTTTCAAGATGACCAAAAAGAACTTCAGTCCCTGCATGGTAAGAGTGGGAGATGATTCACCCTGCTCTTTTTTAGGGAGGCGGCATGACATTGTGATGAAAACATAGACCTTGGAGTCACAGTGACAGTGCCAGCTGTGTGAGCCTGATGAGGTCACTTGACCTAAAATTTAATTCAGTCAGCGCAAATTGGAGAGAATAATGCCTATATCATCTTAATTGTTGTGAAAATTAAGTAAGATGCTATGTATCTCCCTAGTACATGCTAGGTACTCACTAAATGGATGCTTTTTATAAAAACTTGGAGTTAGGATGGGTTGATAAAAGACAGACTTATGGACCCAAGGGACCCTTTTCTGTTTGCATTGTTCATGCTATATACTTTCAAGTCAGTTTCTTAATATAGGTTGTGATGCTTTTGCATTTCTGGAAAGATTATTCACCAGGACAAGAGATACAGAAGTTAGTTATTAAGATCCCCATTTGGTACATTAGAGAAGTGAAGTTTCCTGCGTGAGATGAGCATCCCAAGGTCAAACATCTGGTTAATTGTGGAGCCAGGTCTCCTAACTCCCATCTACCATGCACCACCCCAGCCCCAGGATGCATTAGCTGCATCGCTCTGTTTGTCTTCTAGAGGTTACAGACCCTAAAATCTTTCTTCAATCACCAGCAGGCATATATAGTGAAAGAGGAAAGAGAATCATTTGGGAGGAGAAAATTAGAAACAGAGGATTTTAAGTGCCTTTATCTGCTGAGAACTTTTGGCTGTCAGGCCAGGGAATTCTTTGCTGTTAGTGTTCATTTACCAGGTGATCTTTACTGAGGCTGCTGTGCTCAAGGAGGGAAGTTCTTCGCAGTTGTCAACACAGTGATTTACTCAGCAGCCCACAAGGAGCTGGAGACACAGTGTTTCTCTACAGCACCATTTTTCCCCTTTGAATATGTTTTTTTTTTTTTTTCCTTTGAGTATTCTAAGACCTGAATTCTAAGGCTTTTACTAGTTACTTAATCTAGTCTAGTTAATCTAGACTAGTAGTTAATCTAATCTACTTAATGCAGTTACTTAATCTAGTTTCTTAAATTTTGGTAAATAAACACAGAAGTGGGCAAAGTGACTGGGGAGTCAGGTTTCTGTTTCTCTAATGATTCTCTTTGTTTGCTTAAACAAATCACCTGATCTAAATATCAGTGCTTTTTCTCTCTGTAGAGCAAGGATACTAATATCTAATCCACAGACATCACTGAGTTATTATTTGAAATATACATCTAGCTAATCTATATTTTGCCATATTAGGAAAAGGGAAATTTTAAATTACAGAACGGCATTACAGTTTTGTTTTGGTTTGGGTTGATGGTAACCTGAGGTCTTCTTTGGTTAGGAATTTCCACCTATAAGCTTGAGCATGAAGTGCTACACAAATGCCCAGAATAGAGCAGTTTTAAAATAATAAATCTGGGTTGCAGTCCAGAATCAGATTCTTCTTGGCTGTATGTGTATAGTCAATCATGCAATTTCTCTGAACCTCAGTTTTGGTCTTTGTAACATCAGAGTAATAATAGTAGTAACTACTAGTAACTAATAGTGAACAAGTAGTAACCAGTAATAATTAATATTAGTAACTTAGATGTACTTAGAATATATCTAATAGCCCTTGAAAATATCAGTCAGGGTGGTGCTTGTCATTTGCATCAACGGCATGTACATTTCAATGGTGTATCTGACTTGGTTTCCTAGATTTCTCTCCCCCATCTAAGAATGGTTATTTGGTCCAGGTGAAAGAGATATAATTTCAGTTTTGTTTTGTTTTATTTTGTTTTGTTTTGTTTTGTTTTGTTTTTGCTAGCACCATACCAGAAGCATATCAAGGGGGCCTCATCGCCCAATTGATCCAGTGAGCATTATATTTGACTGGCAAGTTAATGAGTGTCTTTGAATGTTTTGGTGAGGGCTCTGACTTGGTGCTATTTGGTTCCCATTAACTAGCAAACTTATCTGTAAAAGGAGATAATGCTAATTTTTTTAATGTTTATTTTTGAGAGAGAGAGACAGAGCACAAGCAGGGGAGGGGCAGAGAAAGAGGGAGACACGGAATCCAAAGCATGCTCCAGGCTCTGAGCTGTCAGCACAGAGCCTGATGCAGGATTCAAACTCATGAACCATGAGATCATGGCCTGAGCTGAAGTTGGACACTTAACTGACTGAGCCACCCAGGCGCCCCAGGAGCTAGTACTAATTTCAGGCATTTATTTCTACTACAGCTTTGTAGGAGCTGTTGATACACATCATTTTATTTAATCATTAGAACATTACTGATGGAGAAAATTATCCCATTTTTCAGAGAAAACACTTAGGCTAATAACCTTGTAAAGTAATGTTTTATGGGTGTGTCTGTGTGTGTGTGTGTGTGTGTGAGAGAGAGAGAGAGAGAGAGAGAGAGAGAGAGAGAGAGAGTTGTGACTGAGTGAATTACGCAAGTTTACCCAGATGGTCGAATTAAATCAAGAATCAGTTCACCCCTGCCTTTATACCTAGCCCTTCACTCGGTGGTGTCAGGAATAGAGGAACACATACAACATTGTCCCTACCTTCAAGGAGATCAAAGTTCAAATGAGAAGGCATGATGAACACAGATGCAATGATTGGCGAGCCCATGTGATGTACAAGTAAATAGAAGAGAATAAACATTCCTCAAATCCAACAATAGTCTCATATACCCACAAACCTATCACAGGAGATGTGAAATTGCATCAGTAGCTCCATAGATCTTATTCAAGAGCCCATATTTTGTGCTAGATGTTTTGAGGAATACAAATCTGTGTAAATTCCATTTTTTATCTTTAAGAAGCGATCTTTTGGAGAATATGAAGGCATAGGTACTATAAGGGAAGGTGGTAGGGATGTAATATTATTGGCCCAGTCAAGCAGCCTAGGTGGTGATGGATGTACACCTTGTTGGTCATGGAGTGAGTCACGTATGAAGTTGGTCTTAACCTGGCATTGAAGAAACAGAATTGAGGCAGAGAAGGGGAAAGAGATTTGTATGGAAAAGTAAGGAATGGTTGTATTCTGTGTAGACTGATTCAGACAAAACAGAGGGTCCATTTTGGTAGAAATGAGACAAGACACTGAAAGGTAGGGAAGATAGGTGACAGGTGGCTTTCAATGGCACAAATGGATGTTTTTTTGTTTTTTGTTTTTTGTCATAGAAATTCAGATTTACGATAGGATGACAGAAGATAGAATCAGATTCATGGACAGTGATACTTTTGATGAGCTTTTTTTTTTTTTTTTTTTTTT